CCATTAAAGGGAATGTAATTATTAAATCCTATTCCCGTAAAACTAAACATGTTTGGTTTCTACAGGTTGAACCTCTCTAATCCGGCACTCTCTGGTCTGGTAACATCCAGGCATGATTTTAGTTAGCCAAAAGTCCGCTTATCATGGGTGTGTCCAAGTTTCCTGTGGACCCATACAATTTATTTACCCTCAGTCCTGGCTCTGTGTTCTGTGCTGTTATTTAGCTCTAATCTATCCCCTGATGTCTTCTAAGAGCCCAGTAAGCAGTGGAAGTGTTGATAATGCTGTTAGACAATATTGACTTTCCGTGGTCCCACTAATTCTCTGGTTTCGCACAGGTCAGGTCCCCAGGGTGTGGGACTGGAGAGGTTGAACCTGTAGACAGATGTTCCTTACAAAAAGGGTTCTGATGCCTAACTGTTTTGTGGCAGACTAGTTAGCCACTTACACAGCTTAAAAGCAAGTTTGCATTAAAATGACAAGGAAATTGTTACATTTCAAAAGCTCCAGGGGTGCAGTTAACTCTTCAGCTCTCTCTTGTTCGTATTGTTACAAATGCAGACAAAGGTCTGGATTTCCAGAGGGCTCAGCCCTGGCCTAACAGTCCCTCCACTGAAAACAATGGGCGTTCTACCACTCAAACGGGATTCGGTGGCTTTTGAAAACCCTGCTATCATCAGAGGGGCTGCTTCGCAGTGCCCCCTGCTGGGCCAAGTTTGGCACTGCAGTTGTAACCTCCATTGGGCAGATTTGAACCTGGGATCTCTGGAGTTGAGTACAGGAGCCTCTCCCCTCTGAGCTAAAAGCCAGGTGGCTCCCAGCTGAGGCTGTATTGGTCTCTTGATCTTAACTGTTGCTATGGTCTACGTACCACTTGCATTGCTCAGTAACCACACTAGGTGTGTGGGTTACACAGTCACTCGCTGCTTCAGTTCACCAACGGTGACAGCCCAGGCTGTACACTCCGAATCAATCTTTGAACAGTCAAACTGTAACCAACTCAGAATGGAGCTGGCTGCTCCGTCCAACAAGCCAACATACCTCACAGGCAAGTCCCCAAAGCGAATGCCTGGAGTTCTGGGCTAGTTCTGAGGCACCCTTCCTCCGTCATAGTCAATGTTCCCTCTAACTGTTTTCCATCCGTATGCAGAATAAATTTTATTATCTGCACGAAGGCATGTGCAAATGTGCACCACCAATAGAAACACAGGCTGCCGGCTGTGGGCATTCTGCTAATCAGCTGGGCAGCATTTGAATCTCTCCAGGGCAGCTGCTCACGCACTCAGCTTACAGGGAACACTGGTCAGTCTCACCCAGAAGTCTTGGGAAGAAGCATGAAAGCCATCTGAAATGTCCTGCTGGATCCCAATTGGTCAGTGTCTCCTCCTGGCCCTTCTTGATCACTGGAGGATTATGTCTTCATGGTAGCTTAGCCTGAGAGGGTTGCTCCTGAGCGGCTGAGTGTCAAGGGCAGAGAAGGCCCCACAGACTACACAGCACCTACCCACAATGCTTTGGGCAACCACAGCAATCAGGGGGAGTTTTGCTTATGAACATTTGCAAGGCACATGCGTTTCAAAAATCAGAACTATGGACGGTATCGATCAATTTGCAGTGAAAACGTCTTTGTCCATTTCATTTGTCATATGGGTAAAATTCCCAAAAGTGCTTCAGTGACTCAGCAAAACTAAACCCCATCTTGAAAAAGTGACAGACACTTTGGAGCATAAGTTCCCTTGACTTTCTATGAGATTTATGGCTCAGATATTTAGGTCCCTACTGATGTTCCCTCTAATTTTGTCCATCCATGTGTGGAATAATTTGTGCACCAAGGCGTGTATATGTGTACTACCAGTAGATATACATGCTGCTGGCTGTGGTAGCTCTGCTAATCAGCTCTGCGGCACCTAAATCTCTTCTCGGTGGACGCCCAAATGCTCAGCTTATAGGGAAAACTGGTCCCTGCCTCCTATGAAAGTTAGGGAGCTAATTCATTCTTGAAAAATGGGAACCGGGCTCCTAAATCACTTGAATGCTTTTGAAAATTTTACCCTCTCCGTATGGCTTTAATAATTGATAATCTCCTTCTAGACAACTACCAGCTCCCTCTGGATCTAAATCGAGGCTTTACTAACGGCAGTGCAGCTGCATCATTATGTGATAGTATTATTCTAATATGCCTTAACTGCTTCCATATTGGTGCTAAATTATTTAAAAAAAAAAGTCATGTAGAAACACTGAGTTATTCAACACCACAACTTGAAGTTGTGCAGTGGTTGTGAGTCCTGCCAGGGCATATCACTATCACAAGGTTAAGTTGAAGACCGGCTATTTAGAATCACCATGGGATTTTAAAACCTGCAGATTTCCTATTAATTTTCTTTCAGAACTGTTTGAAATACTCTAGTTCCAATAGTTGCATTCTAGCGTGGCACGCAAAATGCAACGCACAATATCATCTGCCTTATAATGCCAACAGTTGGTCCATCATGGGAAAAGTAAGGCCAGATTCCCCCGCAGGAGTAAAGCAGCGTAGCTCTGCTCACTTCAATGGAGCTATGACAATTTTTAGCAGCTCAGGCTCTGTCCCATATAATTGTTACTGA